AAAAACATACAACAGCGGGGATTCGCTAGTGGTCACCCACCTAACTACTAATCCGCCGGTATCATGCTTGTATATGGCTGAGCGGACGGGAAGCCTAATTTTCATGATCCTATGGTCGTATGTATCAATCATGGAAATGTTTGGCAATATATCCTCATGTTCTACAATCTGAAGGCTCTTGGGGAGCTGGGCAGCTCTCACCACGGCGCTATCCCCGGAAAAATAGCAATACGGTGCTATACGGCATCACTCTACCGAGATTAGCCTAATCTACACTGTTACTACATATACACGGCCCCGTGCGAGTAGAGCCAAGTCTCTATACCCAATACATCGCAGACTGAAACGCGCGACGTGAGAAAGAGAGCGGACAACGGACATGATGCCCAACATGGCGATTTGTTCGTGTAATCATTTTTTCTACCTTTGGACTAGCGAGATGATGTGATGCGACGTTTGGAAGATGAAGCTGGGGGAGTACTTCTTCGCAGCGCATATATAGATACCCTTTGTCCATGGCGAAGAAGCATCATCACTACATACCACTACTATCAGCTCTACTCTCTTCACACACACACCCACGACTCCGGAAGTCACATCAAACCACCATCACACCACCATCCCCCCTTCCACCAAACCTTCCACCAACACCAACCCCCCTCAACTATCATGCACGCAACCTCCTTCATCACAGCCTTCGCCCTCGTGGCCGCTGTCATCGCATCCCCAACACCACAACCACAACGTGGCTCCAGCCCCGCACCCGGCAGCCCGGTCGACCCCGGCGTCAGAGTCCCCAAGGGCACTTTCTGCACAGCATCAAACGATCCGGATGTTATTGGGTGCAACACTGGCGACGGCGGGACTTTCAATGTTATTAATGGGAAGATTAGTGGGTGTGCGGGATGTACGCCTGAGAATGGGTTTGGGAGATAAGGGGATGGATGAGAGGGGTTGGAGGGATGGATGAGGTGAATGAATGAGGTGGATAGAGGGATGGAGGAAGAATGGACTGAGGCAGGCGCGTTGTAGCAGATCTCGGGATAGGGTGTATAGCGGCCACTTTCAGCCTTCTTTCTTGCAATGGCCATCGTTATTCCTCAAACATGAGGGAAGAATAAAGTGACATTTGGGTATCTAGAGGGTTTCGTGGCCAACGCTGCGCAGTTTAAACTCTCAAGCCACAGGAACCTTCTCCGTCTGACTAATTATATACCATGCGTGAATCACACCGGGGATCCAGCCGAGAATGCAGAGTGCGATGTTGATGAAGAGGTCGGCGGCGCAACCGCGCTTCATGGCGACGGGGAGGAAGGGGATCCATATTGCGAGGAAGTAGAGGAGGACTGTTGACTATGATCGTTAGCACGGATTTGAAGATTTGGGGAGTGTTGACGTACTGTAGATGATGGCATCGTGCGTGTGTGATTAATTCGCTTTGATGTGGTAGGTTATCGCGTTCTTTCTCGTGAAGATATTCTCGTAGATGTAACAGGCTCGAGTACTGAAGGTGTGGCTGTATCTGTGGCTGAACAAAGAAAAGTGGGCGAACCTCCATGTCTTTAACTGTGCCCTCTGCCCCTGCTACCAACTCGAAGCAGCTTACGACGCAAACAAGGAGCGCATGCCGGGCGCCGGCGCCTTTCTCATTCCTGCCATTGGTCTGCAAGGCCGCAATAACCGCTTACCAAGATTTTGTTCCTGAAGTGGGCAGCAAATGAGACAGTCATGCGCCACAGTGACGATGTTTATTGTGGCGCATGTATCAGCGCGCCGACCGTGCGCCGTGGTGTTGAGGCTAAACCAGGTGATGGGCTTCCGAGATGTGCCGGTAGCCGTGGTAGCCGCGTATGCAGGGTAGAGTAGGCCGGTGCTTCGGTCCTAATACTAAACCATGAGAATCACATCTTTTTGTTAGTACCTGCAGTGTGCAGGAGAAGGAATGCGGGATGTCTGATGCCAACAGTGCGACCGAAGTTCGATGTAAGGGTTTCGCACTCGTGTCAGGCAACTCGACGGAACAGGTAGGGTAAAATGGTATCGATACCACAGGATATTTCCGCAGGTTCTAGCTGTTTTTTTATGCTTCCTACATGTGAAGTGCAGTAAAGAAACTCCGTCGCCGAATACAGTGCTAAGGGTAGAACAGTGGTGACTAGACGAACGGTTCGCGATGTTTCTGTAACGGTGCTGTGAACATGTCAAGGTCATGCTTGGGACTCTTTTGTGACGGTGTGTAGGATAGCATGGTCACTCGACACACGAGTATTGTTCCAATGCGCATCAATTTGAAGACGACACAGCGGTGTGTACGAGAATGCATATTGTTGGTGACTGGGTAGCGACATCGAAACTTCGGCGGCGCTGACGTAGATAAGAGGGTTGTGAATCTTGACTGTAGTGCTCTAGGTCTTACTTCGTGTGCTATATCACGACTAATGTGTTAGAAGCAATGACTTCTGCGGATCAAACGAGTTCAGAAGATTGGGAAACTCACGAGAATGTGTTCTTTTCCATGTTTTACTTGGGCGATGTGTGTGACAAGACGCGTTAAGTGTGTCGTCGAATATATTATGGCATGAATATCATGAGCACACTAGATACATTCTTGGAAGCTGTCGTCAACCCAAACGAATAGTCCTCCTTTCCTTCAAGCGAAAACAAAGCGGCCAAGTTGCAGGATTGCCTTCGATTGCGTGGTCGGGCGTATATCCTATCACCATATGTCCAACTCGTTCGTAATGATGCTCTATCTCATGAACGATCATAACAAAGATAGGATCATCGAAACAATCAGATGGGATGGTTTCACATCTGCCCAACACGATTCCCAACAGACTACCTTGTTGAAAGCCTGGCGCGTAGCTTTGCTGTGTGGCAGAACCATTGTCGAGCTGCTGGTACAATGAAAATAAGGGAATCCGGAGAGTTATCTCATCGTCTTGGAATGCAGCAAAATACCCGGAGTAATTCGAATTATATCGGTTTCCCTTCTTCGCACGGATCAAGCGGTCTGTCGCGTCAGGGGAGAACTGAATATCGATAGGTATTGTCCATGCTTCAATGTGGATAAATCTTCTGGAAGAACCAGGTATGCCCATGTCTAACGAGACGTCGCTTTGCTCATCCATGTCTGAAAGTGATCCATCACATTTTTCTATAAAGATCTTCAACGGTCTTTCGTTTTCGAGTTTGAGTCCTTTCTCACATGATTCAGTTTCGTAATTGATTGGCACATTCCATCCAGCCCAACTCCACGTAGGGAACAGGGGACGCCTGGTACCTAACGCCGTGTTGCACCAGGAGAGCCCGGCAGCGAAGGCCTTGCTATTACTGCATTTTGACGGGTCCCTATATTCTCCCCATACTACAAGCCTTGATGGCACGATGGGAATACCCAAGTACTGTTGGACGGGATACTTCTTTTTCCTGAAACTATGAAAAACTCCTTCAAATGCGCGTATGGCATCAGAGCTGACAGATAGTTCTCTCCTACAGTAATCAGTCAGACAAGAACAAATCTTCCAGGGACGATGCGCGTTGTCCTCGTTCCGGTCATCAAAGATCCCTGGCCGCTGGATACAAGGATTATCGACTGTTTCAAAAGCAAGGCCAGCTCGACACTCATAGTACACTTGTTGCTCTGTAAAAACGAGGCGCCGGGTCGAGAAAAAGCTCTCTTGATAGGTCCATGCTCGGTGCATCCATCTAGAGGCCTTAATGAGTGTCCGCGGGTCTGATAAAGTTGATACAAGGCATCGCCCCCCAACCCGGGCACTTGCTTGAGGAGTTCTCGGGGTAGCGCCAACGCCAGGTAGGCCGAAATATGGATCCGTGCCTGCTGCAGCGACAATAGTCACGTACGCATTTTGATATATGAGGTCCATTTGCTGTATCTGCGTTTGTTTCTCAAGATCGTTGTCTTGGTCGATGCAATATCTGTCGATCCAAATATATCGAAGACCTAGCGATTTGCTGACTTGTAGGGCGTCTTCGATAGTGTGTGGCAGGGTTGTGGGAAGTGCGTTATGGACACACCGATCATCGCCAGATCTGCTAGTACCCCACACATAGCTGAGTGCAGAATACTCGTACGTTGGCAATGCTGGCACGATCCGTCGCTGTTCGCAGTCAATCAACTTCAGCTCTTTGAGACTCGAAGCGGTTGATTTAACTTGGGTGCACTGCTCTACATGCTCTCGAGCACAACGCTGTATCCAACCTCGAATGATGTCGAAGTCGATCAAGGTTGCGTCAATAGATTGCGCTCGCAGTGAATCGACGGGTAGAGTTGTATTTGACGCGCTTGAGCAAGCAATGAAGCCGCCAGACACTCCATCCTCAAACGTGCTCATCAGCATGTTATATCCCTCATAATCCTCATACCAATAACCAATGGGAGACTCAAGGCCATCTTGAGCTACAGCTAGCACTGTTCCAGATCGAGATACGTAAAGCTCAGGAGCAGGTGTGCAGTATAGAGCATAGTCCTGGATTTCAGCGCCATCTTCCATCCTCACCGCGTGGAAAAGGCGACACAGTGAGCACGACGACAGCTCAGCTTCCTTCCCGAGTACTCCGAGAGTCATCAGTTTTCTTATGTCATATCCATTCCGATCGACGAAAAGGCTCTCGACATCGATGGACGAACATCGTGAACAAAGGCTGCTCGATTCTTGACACACTGTTTCGTCCCGTGTGTGAGTTGTGTCCCCATTGCTCTGGCAGGTGGCAGTTGATATGTCCACAGATTCCTTTTGCTTCCCTGAAGGACCCTTAGATGTACTCGGAACTGGTGCTCGCTCCATCGTGATGGGACCTTTGGGGAACGATTGGGTGGACAATGACCGGATGGTGGCACCTGTCTCGTTAACTTCACGGCCTTGGTGTTGCGACGCACTGAAACTGTGGGATAGACTTACTTGTTGTCCATTCCCGTGCTTGATCCGCTATTGCCAGTGATGGGAGGTGGAGAGTGAGAGGTGCGGGGCAGAAGTGCTCTCAAGGCTGCTGCCTGCTGGATACCTGCTGCGCCTGCCAGCTGATAAGCGACGTTTAGGTAAGCACATGCACGCTGCAGTCAGTGGCTTGCTTGGGCAAGTTCTGGTATTACCACTACGATTATTCCTACAGCTACTTTTACAATTATTCCTACAAGTTATACTCCTACAATAAGTCGTCTTAACATTAAATCCAGTATAGTAACCAGCTCAAGAGACACCGTGGCGTGAATAGCGTAGGTTTGCAAAGTCGCACTTGCTACGTGAGTTACTTGTCTAACCTTGGAAACGGGCAGTCGCATAGCCGCGCTTGCTAGGTGAGCTACTTTATCTAAACTAGCAGTCGCAATACTTTCGCGACCCTGTCATAAAAGATGCGATAGCAGCACTTCGGACTCTTCAACAGCGAAGCGAGGCACGAGACAGTCATGCAATCCAAATTCGTCGGGTCGAGGTCAACAATGCGGTGAGTGCATCGATGCAAATTCTAGCCGGTCAGGTAGCAACATCGAAACTTCCAAACTTCGGCGACGATGGCGTATTTGACCAGAGTGGACGGTGAGGCTCTGTTATTACAAAGCATAACAAGGATGAACGCTGCGCGACAGGAAATGACAACGGGAACTAAAAAAGGACACGATGAGCGGTGTGGGTGGTTGGCGGGTGAGAAGCGGTGACGAACTTTACAAACATTAGGCATACAGGCAAAAATGGTGAACAGGGATATCTCGGCTTCGAATTTCTGATCTATTCTAGTCGATAGCCGCGCCTTACAAACAAGGTCGCCGAGGGGATCTTTGGGGATCTTAGGGAAAATTTTGAACTATCCTAGGTGTTGTGGGCGAGATGAGGTGGAAGGGGGGGTATGATTGTAGGGGTTGTGTTGATTGAGTAGTGAAACTAAATGGGCTGAGCGGGATGGGGGGTTGTAGTGGAACGCTAAAAATGCCGGTACTAGAAGTCGTGTCTTTCTTTTGTAGACAGACGAAACGAAGAGGAAGGAGATGGGCTATATAGTAATAACATAAGACATTCGGCATCATCGTGTCGCATTATCATGAGAAGGGGATTTGACGGACCAAAAAAAGCAAAGACAAATTTGTTGGAATCAGGGAAGATGGAAAAGGAACGCTGGAATCATAACAAACAAACAAACAAACAAACTTTGCAGTTCCCCGGCTATTGGGGTTGCGCGGCTCCGTCTTTCACCATTCGCTTCCGAAAGGCTTTGGCTTTGCTCGCTTGGTTCTTGCTCGCTTGTGCATCCAGATGACTTGCGGCGGTGAAGGCTTCGACGACGGCCATGGCGTTGGCCTCTTCTTCCTCGTTGAATGTGATGAGGTCGAGGAACTGGCGGAGGACGATGGAGCCGAGCTTGGCGTGGGCTTGCTCGACGTAGTCGGTGTTGACGGTGTCGGCTGATGTTCGTGCGAGGACGCTCCAGCCGTCGGGTTTGAGGGATGCTTGTCGTGCTAGCAGGCGCTCACTTGACGCCAACAGGATGAATGCCCTTATTACCGCTTCTTTGTTTGTGATGTTGTTCTCGGGTGATACGTCGAGAACCTCTAGGAAGTCGTCGAGGGAGGCGGTGCCGATGAATGTGTGGCGGTGCTTGTACTCCAAGTCCCGCTCTTGCTGGATAGCCGAGGTGGGCCCGGTCTTCTTTGGCAGCTTCTTGGGAGTTGATGGGTGGAGGGAGCGGGTGGTCGGGCTGTGGTGGCGGGGGTTCTGGTCCTGCGCGTTGGCGGCTTTGATGGGGAGGCCGAGGGAGATGCGGCGTTGGTGGGTGTTGGCGGGGCGCTGCGGCTTGGAGGTGTTGGCTTGGAGTTGGAGCAGGCCTTCGTTGGTCTTGGCTCGGAGGGGAAGCGACCGCGATGCCCGTTGCGCACTGGCGAGGCGTGATTCGATGGTGGGGGTGGAGGGTGTGCGGAGGTGGGAGGGGCGGCGCTTGGTGACGGACACAGCTTCTTCGCTGTCGCCTTTGAGGGACGGCGACTTGGCGAGGTCGTCGTAGGCAAAGTAGTCGGGCGGGCCGTCTTCCTTTATTCGATCCAGCGAGTAGAGGAGCGGCTCTTCGAAGAGGGTGGCGTCGGTGGAGAGGCCCAGGGCATCGGCTGGGTCAATGGCTCTTGTGCGTGGGCTGGCGCGGGGACTGGCAAACTTCAGGCCGTTGACCTCGGGCGGCATGACCCAGTGCTGGACGCCCTGCTGTTGGCGCATCTCGTGCTTGAGCTTGCCCTCGAGGGCGCTCTCCGTGTCGCTCGCCATGGAGAAGCGGCGCGAAGGTGATCGTGAAGGCGTGCCGGGCTGTTGTTGTGTATCGTACCCCGCATTGCGCAGAGCGTTGAGGATGGAGCTGTCCCCGCGGTCGAGGTAGAGGAGGCCGGTTCTCCACATGGTCGTGGTCGTCGATGAGGGTTCCTGCTGTGTACGAGTAGCCGACGCAACAGTCACCCTCTAGAGTCTTGTCGGACGCGGACAGGGAGGCGCGATGTGCCGCTGCCCTAGCTTTAGTACTTGTTGACAGCATGCGGGTGATCGAGCTGGCCGGCGCTAGCACCCGCTTCACCGCCATTTTTCTCAATTTGGGACTCCGGTTGAAAAGTCTGTCGCTGCCGTGCCTCTTGCCCCGACGCGGTCTAATGCATGCATCACGATGCAGCAAGCCTTTTTTCACGTCGCACTGCCCAATCACTTTCTTCCTGTCATCGACTTTCGTTGGGCGCTGATTTGCTGTGCAGCCTCAAACATTCCTACACCCTGTACCTGCATCCGATCAGCAGGTTTGAGTGTAGCGTACGTACCCCCAACCATCCCGTATCATCCCGGCAACGGACGAAAGCGTCGAGATCGTGTCCTGCGCGGCTGGCGTGATCGCGAAGCATTCGACGGCATGACGTGGTAGTGGAGTCGGCGTGCTAGCTCCACTCCCGCAAGGCTGAATATATATCTCCAGAGCGTGGCATGGTCGAGATAGCCGCGGGTGGCATGCACGTTGTGCTGCACTGCCTGCAGCTGCCAGCGCAAAGGGTACTGTCGGCCGTCGGAGTGTGTTCGGACATGTTGAGGTTCAACAGAAGGCGGGGCGGGGTACACCGCGACGCTAACATCACGTTTGATCAACATTTCATGTTTCAAGGCGGATATCGGAGCGGAGAGAAGACGACCGAAGTCAGCAGAAGGTCCAGTCACGCGTGCGGTGAGGAGGGATGAGGGTGTGAACGCAGCGCATGTGCAGCCCGTGTGATAAGAAGAGGCTGTCTACTATCCAACCTCCCACCACATGGGAGCTACATCCTGCACATGAGAGTACATGCTGCACATGGGCAGAGCAGCTGGTGAACGGTACCGGGTTTTTCAGTGCAGTGTGCCAAAATCTGCTGTTGGTGCTGTGGACCCAATCACTACTGGCGGGCTTCGCGCGATAAGACGACACGCACCGCACAACACCATCACTGTTCTCGGCCCTGGCTAGTGTACCTAACAATAAACCTTCTGGATTGTCTTCTGGCCTGTCCTGTTCGTCTCACAGGACTCGACCCCGCAGTGACACAGCTTCGGTTCGCTCGCTTCATGGCCAGCAGTTCGACACCCTGGCACTCCCACCGTGAGGGTACCACTATGAGGACGCCGCCATGAGGGTGCTGACAGCGCGCTCTGCATCAGCGATCAAAACACGTCCCTCTCCACTCCACCAATGCACGCAAACCCACCTCCCCACGCCCTCACCGAATCGCATGGTGACGCGTGCCATGCGTGGAGCTCACTTGGCCCTACGTGGAGCCTCGTTTGGTGACAGGCACACCGCTCGGCGATACTGCGACTCCGCTTCTCACGCGTGACGTGTTGTTTATGTGCGTCGAGTGGGCAACAACACAGCGCTTTCTTTTCCACTCCTCGCCATCACCACAACACATAAGCGGCGGATGTCTGCGAGTAAAGCGTCTGGAGGGCGCCTGGGTCGAACCGACTTTGATGTCATTCCTATGGTTTGGGAGGGCGTTGTGCAGTGTGGAAGCCATGCAGCGTCAACGGCCCGCACCCGCTAGCGAGCCATGTTTTCTTGGCGTAAACAAAGCTGGACCGCCGAGGAGCGCCCTCCGCAGCCGAATTATTATGAGGCCATTGGCACGCCGTAGATAGTTTGCAACCGTGTTCACAAACCCAATTGCCCTCTGCACAAAGCAAAAATTGATCTCCGCCGCACCCCACCTACACCGCCCCGCTGCCGTTCGCTCCATCTCGAATCAGTGGAGCTGATGTTTTCTTGCACTGCCTCGCCCGACGACCTCCGCCGGTAGCAATTTCAGCTTCAATCTCCCCACGCAACGATCCCATAGCACCCAAACTCGTCGCCCTCGTGGGCCTACCCAACCATGGATGACGGTCCTCCACCTCCGCCGCCTCCGCATGGCGCAAACCCAAAGACTACAGGCGGCAGCCATGCACCTCCCGACCCCGGCCCAAGCGGCGGCCTGCCACCGGGCAACTACGACATCTTCATCATACCGCCGCACTCTTCAGGAGGCGGCTTCATATACCTTCCTAGCATGGGCGTGCAGCAGAACAGCTTCATTGCGGGTGTGCTCAGCACCATCGCGAGCATCGTGCTGTGGAAGGCCGCTGAGCCTTACATGAAGCAATACTTTCTCATAGTCCGACATGGAGTCACGACTGGTGGCAATGGCGTCATATTGCTTGCGGTCTTGATGTTGGTTGCCGGATGGGCAGTCGGTCAGACACAAGCAGGGGGTCGCTTTAGCAGTGGCGGAGGGGGCTATGGCCGTGGTGGAGCGGGAGCTGGAGCTGGCACACATACACCAGGCGGAAGCTCAAGCTATCAACGAGCACCTCCACCACCGCCTCCAAACGGCGGCTTCCCCGGCAGTCCTCCACCCCACGGCGGATGGGGTGGATACCGCCAATACGGGGCTGGCTCGCCGCCACCACCACCTCAAGACGATGAACCTTCCTTCGACGAAGAGGCCGAGCGAGCCGAAGAGGAGCGGAAACAAGCAGAGGAGAAGGAGAAGCGGCGGAAAGAGAAGGAGGAAAAGAAACGGCAAGAGGACGAGGAACGCAAACAGAAGGAGGAAGAGCGCAGAAAAGCTGAGGAAGCCAAGAAGAAGCAGGAAGAGGAAGAAGCCGAACGCAAGCGCGCCGAAGAGGCAGAGGAGAAGAAGAAACAGGAAGAGGAGCTTAGGAAGAAACAAGAGGCGGATCTCAAGAAGAAGCTCAAGAAGGAGCTGAAGGAGGCCGAGGAGGCGAAGCGGAGAGAGGAAGAGGAAGAGCGCAAGCGTGCTGAAGAAGCCAAACGACAGGCCGAAGAAGAGGCTCGACGGCAGCGTGAAGCTGAAGAGCAGAGGCTAGCTGAAGAAGAGAGGAAGAAGCGTGAGGCTGAGGCACAGAGACTGGCCGAAGAAGAGAAGAAACGGCAAGAAGAAGCTGAGCGTCAACGCATCGCAGAAGAGGAACGCAAGGCCGAGGAAGAGCGCAAACTCGCCGAAGAGGCTCGGATACGCGCTGAAGAAGAGAAGAAGAAGAAGGACGAAGAGGACCGCAGACGAGCCTGGGAAGAACTCAAGCGCGCAGAAGAGGCCCGACAGAAGAAGGAGGCTGAGGAAAAGGCCAAAGCAGAGGCAGCCAAAGCCGCTAAAGCCAAAGCCGAAAAGGAGAAGTGGGAGCAGATGCGCAAGCGTGAGCGCGAGCAACGCGAACGTGAAGCCCGCGAGCGTCTCGCTAAAGAGAAAGCCCGCAAGGCACAAGAAGCCATTGAGAAAGAGAAGGCCGAACGAGAAGCTCGCGAGGCTGAGGTGCGTGCAGCAGTCGAGAAGGAGATACGCGAGAAGCTCGAAGCCGAACAACGCGCCAAAGCTGCCGAGGAGGCCGCCAGGAAGGCTGAAGCAGAGAAGATTGCCGCCGAAGAGGCAGCCGCCAAAGCGAAGGCAGAAGCAGAAGCTGCTCTTGCGAAAGCAAAGACAGATGCTGAGCGCGCCGAACGCCTCAAAGCAGCTCGAGAGCGAGCTCAGAAGGACCGTGAAGCCCGTGAGGCAAAACTCAAAGCAGAAGCCGAACGCATCAAGGCCGAAGCCGCTACCGCAGCAGCCACAGCCGCAGTTCCTGATCTCACTGCCCGTCGCTCAACTACGTATGGTAATGTCGGTGGAGGTGAACGTCTCGATCCATACGCTGGAGCGAGGAGTACACCACCACCTGCTGCGTCCGTTACGTCTACACATTCTTCTCCCATCAAAGCCACCGTCACACCCAAGAAACCCTACGAACGACCAACCGCTGCATCCTACCTCGGTTCTGAATCCGACGCCGCATCTTTCGTTCCACCCCGAACTGCCACGGGACCTGCCCGTTCCACAGCCACACGATCTCACGTCTCAAGCGCTTACTCTGAGTCTTCATATGCTCCTTCACAGTCTACAACTCGCACATCGCCACCTGCGTCGAGAAGTGGACCGTATGCAACGGCCGACCCCAACAAGATTGTCATCAAAGCGGTGTATCTGTTCAATGATCTTTTTCCCAAGCCCGTGGCTCAGTTGGTGAGCAATGTGGGCAAGGTCACTGATGGCTTGATTCTCAAGATACAGTCCGAGGGCTTGTTCATCGATGATGATGTCCGAGGCATTCCGCAGCGCGAGTGGGATGTTAAGGCTTGGACGTTGAAGATGGTCGAGGTAAGTCATGTTTCCCTATCACCTCTTGCGCCATTGTTTTGATGAATGTGTACTGATATGTATAACAGACGGGCAAACAACCCACCAAAAACCTGCACATACTCCGCGCCTCGGTCCGCGATGCCGACGGCAAGAAATACGTGTTTCTCATTGACGAAACCGAGAGTTGGAAATTGGCTCTTGGACTGCAGAGACTTAGGAAGGGAAGTCAGGTACGCAGTTTGCAGAGCGCCCAGATGGCGCCGAATGAGATGGCGAGGGTGTTGAATGCTGTGCCGCCTATTGCTTTGTAGATCATTGAACACAAGCAGTAGGGGTGAAAGAGGTAGGGAGAGGGCAGTGTTGATATGATGGTATGGTACAGTAGTATGGGTGGTGGATTTGGATACCCACTTTCGTTCCGCATAAAGCATCAGCGGTGGAGTTGTTGTTGTTTGTTTAGCAACGCATTGTTACGAGCGCATCTTGTACTCTTCTTTCTTTCGTTGTATATGCATCTTTGGTGGAAAGGAAAAGAGATGAGATGAGGGGGGAGTATATATCACAACTACATATTGGCGTTGGTTTAGGGAGGTGGTGGTAGATGGGTGTTTTGGGTGTATGTAGGATGGTGAAATGGATGTGTGGCATGTGATGTGGTCTCAAGTTTGGACTTGTGCGTGTGTGTATCGTCATGTCGTGATGCCTATTCACTTGCCGTGTCAAGTGAACGCTATGGGACTGCGCCTAAATACTCGGCTGTCTTCCAGAGCTAGACACGGAGTAAGTGAATGAATGGTAATTCTATTGTACAGAAACAAAGGCTTTTCGTTCCTGAATATCTAGTGCTGGTGCTAAACTTCGAGCGGGATCCAACTGAAATACGCAACCGTGCACGACCCTGAACCGTTGAAGCTCCTTCCGTCATCCCGAAACCCCCCAAACTCCACACGTTCGCTGCTGCAGCCCAACGTCATCCCCACCAACCCACCATCTCAACTACCGTCAATCCAAATCCTGTCGCAATATAGTTGTCGCATGCGCACCATGTCATCCGACTATGGATCGGACATCGACTCCGACGTCGCAGATGTCGTCGATAAGATTGTTTCGTCGCAGCAAGCTCCCCCTTCCTCCGCGCAAATACCACGACCTGCGCTAAAGCCACTCAATACCACCACATCTCTCACCCCACCGTCATCCCATAAGAAATCAGATGCAACTACTCTCCAACAATAGCACCAAGCTGCTTCAACGCCGCCGCCCTCGGCTTCATCATCAGATACCAAACCGTATCGCTTGACGTTTGGCAAACATGAGGGCAAGACGCTTGCGGAGATACCAACGTCTTATGTTACGTGGTTGATTAGGAACCCCATATCGAGTCGGCCGATGGAATTGATATATGCGTTAGAAGAGTGGCAGGAGGAGAAGAAGAATGGGAGGAAGGCGGCATCGCAATCGCAAGCATCGCAGGTGTCGATGTCGCAGACGCAGGCGTCGCAGATGTCAATGTCGTCGCAATCGCAAGCTACATCTTCGAAGATGCCGCTCTCTCCACCGTCGTCTCAAGCCTACCAGGCCCCTCCTCCATCGTCACAGCCTGCGGTCACGAGCACGCATATCTCCAAATATACCTCTCCTCCGTCACCATCTCGTTCGCCGTCACCACCGCCTAGCACACAGTACCCACTTCCTTCGTCACAGCCCACGGCACATCAAGGCTCGCCCGATGGCCCCCTATACATACTCCCTTTTGGCGATTACAAAGGCAAGACTCTACTCGAGGTACCAGAGGATTACCTCTACTATCTTGGTGCGAGCGAAGACAAATTGGCTACTTTGCCTGGTTTGGCTGACGCACTCGGCTTGATGCAGAAGGGTCTACCACCAGTCGTTACGGAACCCATGGCGCCGAGTCAGGCTTCATCGCAGACTTTACCACCGCCATCATCTGCCCCCTTCTCGTATATGGACTCTGCACCGCCTGCATCCAGTCAAGTTTCTGTGGCCAGTCAGCAGGCCCCGCTACCACCTTCGACTGCGCCTAGCCATTATTCCCTCTGCAAAGACGACATGCCGAATAGGTCGCAACCTCCTGCACCTCAGCTCTCTGCCTCGCAACCTCCACCCCTTCGCGAACCATACCGCTTCGACTTTGGCAAGTACACCGGGAAAACCATCGCCGAAGTCCCTCCCTCCTACATGGCCTACCTCGACAAAGAAGGTGTCATCAAGCAACGTCCCGACCTTGCCGCTGGAGTCGATGAGTACGAACGCCACCACCCACCCATTGGGACGCCGCACAAGGGAGAATACAGATTCACGTTCGGCAAGCATGTAGGAAAAACATTGGCGGAAGTGCCCTCTCAGTACATCTGGTGGCTCAAGAACAACACCACTATTTCCACGGACAAACCTGAGGTTGGTGCTGCGATTCGGCAGTATGAGCGAACTCAGAAGCATACTCAGACTAAGACTCAGAATCGGAGGCGGCAGAGGGCTTGGTCTCCAATGTGCTCATGTTGTGACTGAGCGCACTGATCGCAAGAGTGCCTTACTCGTCGTTCAAAGGAACAATACCCAGGCAAATCACGGTCTCTAGTACTACTGTGAGTAGTAAACGTCATTGCGGGCGCTTCCAGAAGAATGGTAAACCCAAGCTCGCGCTTGAGGTCAACTCGAAATGCATACACAATCTGGTAGATCACAACATCTTCTGGCTTGTATCTTGTCTGTCATATTTCCGAACATGACCAGGCAGTGCGCATTCGAGGATTACATGGTTTCTATACAACGAGCTCTGTATGTAAGCTGGAAACAGCAAAGGTTGAGTTGCTCATACCAACAAAATGTCCAGGTTGTGGTCTTCATGCATCTGAAAGCCATACCATCCTTCTTTGCTACGCGCCAGCCACCGCCTTATGCCATTGGACACGCTGAACAGGGAGCGCGAGAATGTACACGAGAGGCTGGGCTGGCGCTAGACATTGCGAGGCTAGGCGGCCTGTTGCTCAGCCGCAGCCACCAAGGCGGAGGCGTCTGATCTCCAGCCTTGCGACCCCGCAGATTAAAGCCAGCGTCCGCCGCCTTGAAGGCCATAGCGTCCGCTCTCGACTTTTTTTTTCCGGCTCAGAATTTATAGCATGGCTTCTGGTAGCGCGACACCAACAGGAGCTTCCACTCTCGACTTCTCTTTCTGGTTCAAGTCCTGTGTCACTGCTTTTGGTTGCGCGACAAAAAAGGGATCTAATTCGAACGCATCCCAACAAAACACGAGCAGAAGATGTCTAGCCACAGAACGACTTACTGATACCCCTGATACCCCTACGATCAAGTTCGCGCGGTTCAAGAACGCGACTTTGGAACTTTTTGAGGCGCCCATCGAGTCCACCGATTACATTGCTTTCTCTCACGTGTGGGGCGACTGGGCCTGGCGTTCAATCGAGGGCATACCGTACGAGGTGAAAGCATCGCAAGAGAAAGCACAGTTCATCGCAAACGATCTTCCCGCTTTGGTGGGCGATGGTGCCTTTTGGATGGACACGTTGACTGTCGATCAACGAAACCCAGTTGAAGTCTCAGAGATTGTGGATGTCATTCCCGATATCTTCAGGATGGCCAGAAAGACGATTGCAGTCAAAGAGTGCGACGGATTGTATGATTGCTGCATTGCTGCGGTTGCTGACTTCGAAACCGCGGACGAGTTCGCCAGCAGATCTAATGATCACAGCATTGCGCATACTCACTATCTCTGCGCAGAGTCGTACCTCCAGAGATTATGGACGCTGCAGGAGTGCTTACTCTCTCATACGATTGAATTTGTGGTTGGAAGCGACAGTATGTCACAGCATTCTTTTGCTTTTTGCTCGTGGTTGACCAAAATTCAGACCAACCCAAGAAGCTCGCGGTGCGGGAACAGGCTCTCGGCGACAGTGATTTCTATCGACACCAGATGGATGTTGGGACTATCGCGCTGAATCTCAAGAAGCTAGCCTACTCTTTCTGCGGTTCTCAGAGCAATACCTTCATAGACGAGTTCGTGAAAGCTTATGTTCATGGCGGGACCGTTGTTAATCCACGTAGCGCAAAGCGCAGCCAACATGAAGACATCCACTCGGGTGGTTTTCTACTGGCGAATCGAGCATCGCCTAGATCCGCTACTATGCCCTGCGACTACATCTTCGCAACCATGCCATCTTTTCCATGGTATACATATCCGAAGAAAGAGGCTTTGTCGATGTCGTTTGGAGAAATTTATTCAGATCTTTATCAGCAAGCTGAACGATCTGGACATGCTTTTACATGCAGGTTCACTCGATCGATGCTTGATCCCATATGCACAGATCCCACAGACGGTTGGCTACCAAGCCAATATCTTCCCAGTCCAACGACGCTCGGCGATTTCCTGAAACTGGTGGGAAATCGCGTACCCAAAGCCTCCAATGCTACTTCATCGCACGTGCACATTACATCGGATGTGCAGATTATGGAACTAGAAAGCGAATGCTTGCCAGACATTCTCATCGCCAGGCTAGAAGCTTGTTTCGAGCAGTCACGAACACCATGGCTTGAGTCTTACACAAGTGGTGAGCTTCCAAAACTCGGGAAATATCCTAGTCATCGTTGGACGTGCAATCACGCTGATGCCGCGAGGTGCGGTTGGGTTCCCATTAATCCAGAGTATGCAGCACAAGCGTACGACGATGGCGATCATACTCGGACGAGAACCGACCCCAGACTAGAATTCGAGGAAGACGATTGTTTAGTGGACATCAGTAGCCTAGACGAGACTGAGCCAGAGGCCAGCATGGATGAGGCTGGTGAATACGTACCACTCTTTGCGCAAGCTAGGAGAATCCTTGTCCGTATGTGGTTCGCATATGAGGGGCAAAGCCGCCCTGGAGCCCAGCAAGAAGAGTGGGCAGACTTCAAGCGGTCTATGCAAGATCTCTGGTCAACACCACTACTACATACCGTACTCCTCCTAGCTGGTATGATCAACTGTCGCATCCCATTATCCGCCGCAGCATGGGTCAACAAGCTCTTCATCCCCGTCTACATTCGCCACAACGAAGATCTTCTTTCCGTCGGTCTTTTGGCAAAGCACGCACGTCAGCCTAAACAACAGCGAAAACACCCTTTTCACCTACTATGCGTTGGCCAACACCTGCCTTCGCCCCACCAGAAGGCTTTTGGACAAGACTTGTTTCTCGTGGACCCATCAACCAAGGTACCGGTTGGCTTGGCCCCCGATATGTTCCATGAAAGATACTCGGATGAGGCATCCGTAAAAGTCGCAATTTCTTTGTATAATCGCTATTTTACGGAATTAGGAGAGAACAAAGTAGACATCGGCCCCCGTCTGCTCTCTGATGAGCCGTCTGTTCCTAGAGAGGCTTGTGTCGCGAAGCCCCAGTAGACTGTAGAGTGTGGTTGCTGATGACGGGATTGTGTGTAGCCCTCGAATAAACTAATCCACTTCGGAAAATTATTGCCTACATACATATGCGGTCGGACTTCTCGAGACACTCGTGGGCTTCTTCTTTTGTTTGCAATAGATGTATTAAGATGAATGTATAAGCAAGTAGGTATCGTCAAAAAGGTGTCCAAGTCTGGTATAGCCCTCTACTAGTATTAAAAAGGTCGTAAAATAAGAGTATCTGCAACATATCCTCGGCAGCACGGGGAAGCTCGGACTAAGCCTCGCGGCGCAATAGATGTAGAGTACTTAAACGCGTTCTTTAACAATTTGCATGCATAACCTTTAATGTCTAACTTCTTTCTTCTTACACTCTAAACTATTTTGCTCTTAATGCTTATTCTCTAGCTGTACATTACATGCGCTACACTATCGCTCTTAGCACCTCTACTACTCTTACAAGTGTAGAGTAGCGCTAATTTCCGAGCCTGTTTAGTTTTTCTTTCTTAGGATCCGCGCCGTGTAGTAGTCTGTTGTTGCTCTATTTGAATATCCATACATTAATCGCAGCGCTGGAAGTTACACGCATACTCCGATTGCATTAGAGAGACCTAGAAACGCGTTCTTCTAGTAGAGTTGTTAGCAATCAAGCCAAGCTGGGGCTTGGAGACAGGTGTCTAGTCAATGGAGACAGCTGCTAGGCCTATCTAGGCAGTTGCTAGGCCCAAAACGGTAGCCTCTAAGCCAAATTCTACCCTCCAGCTTGTTTCTTGCCAACCATACCGTCTCCCCACGTGGATCTGCCAATACAAGGCTGTGAAACATTGACTTCGCGTATGCAAGTTGTCGCCAGGACTTACGGCATAGCCAGTCACCTTTTGTTGAAGGCTGCGTGCAGGCACACGCGACGCGTCTGGACCCCGCTGTTGTCGATGCTCGCGACTCTAGGCATCGTGTACTGCGGATTGTACGCGTTTGCTTGCTTCAAAGACTCTACTTATCAGGCTCCAAGGCTAAACTGACTAGGCAGTCGTTCTGAGGGGTTGCACATAGCAGTGTCGCGTTGTTGCGTCCTTGTGTATGCTGCTAAGTTTACGTGACTACTACCGCAGGGAACAACAAACATCAGCAAGTTCAAAACGCACATTGAAAAGAGGTAGGTCACTCAAACCTGTATCTGCGCGTTTCGTTGCGGTGGGCAGATAGTCCGTCCATGCTTCAATCATACCGTATACCAAAGTACAATCTCAAAGACCAAGCCCAACCCAGGACCAGACCGCAGACCGAGTCAAAGGCGCACTCTATTCTTTCCGTCTATGCTTCGATGTCTTTGCCCCACGACTAGGTCTTGAGGGGCTTCTCTGAGCTATCCCAGCTCCTGCGCCCTAGGACCTTCCACAGTATGCAGTAGACCAGCATGATAGGGCGACGCCTGCCTGTTATGATACGCTGAGAAGCTAGTTCCCGTCGAACACCGGGAACATGCATGTCAAATGGCAGGTCGCTTCTAGCCACAAAACCCTCGCTACTTCACCAATCTGATACCTACATGCCCACACCATCAGATGACGGGTTCCTGTCACCCTGTCATCACGCACCAAGATCACTACCGCGATGCCGACCTGCAGCTCCATGCTATGTGCGGACAACACATCACTCCGTGGACAGTGCATATCTAGTTACGGATCACCAATGGAGAAGAGCAGACTTCACCGCTCTTACTTGTCGCCTGTTCCAGGACTGCGACGGTGTGACATCTGACACGGGTGGCTGCGTGCGGACAGTGCAGCGGAGATACCTGGTCCTCCATCACTGCCTGGGTGATTCACCTGTGCAACATGGCGGGGTTCCATGTTTGGTCGGGGTGCGAGGGGATCCCACGCTCCAGTGCTAAAATGGAGTTTTTCCCGTGGCCAGATTCTCGTCAGGGTTGAGTTGATTGACTCACATCGAAGTTTAGCCCTCAGTAGCAGAGCTGGTGTTACTATTGCACCTTACTTGAAAGCACCTTTGTTGATGCTCTTCTACCTTGTGCATCGGGATCCTGGACAGACGATACCGGATCAATACTTCTCTGTCACCAAGAAAGCTTTTTATTCATTTTGATGCAAGAGTCTCGGTTCGTTTGTCCTGCTACACGATATGGATCGTGATCATATCTCACGACACCGCCCCTCTCAGCGTCCAGAACGAGACGATACCGATCGTTCTCAATCTCTATCGATCACGCAGCGTCGTTCGCGCTCCCCTCTACCACTCCATCCCAATAAGGCATGTCGTATCAGAGATGTGTCTTCCCATCGTCTTATGGAGGGATCATCGACAGCAGAATCATCGGTACAATCTCGCTCTTCTACAAGTGCTCGGTCACGCGGTTCAGCCTTTACAGAAGCAACAAGTACGCGGTCATTGTATCGATCGAGATTAACCCCCCAGACAACCACTACTCCGTCAACACGTCGATATGCCACCCCAACATCAACATCAATAGCACGGCAACGCTTCCTAGCGAGGCATACTACATTTTCGCCTCCTCCTCGACCATCCGTTCCACACCAAACACACCCAGGTTTCTTGAGCGAAGGAAAGCAAGTCCGCGAATCGATCGAGACCAATGATGGTCGAGCCCATATCGAACAGCCGAGAGATGCGTCGGCCCAGCAGCCGAATCTTTTACCCGCTTCACCGACCGACGTGCTGAAATTGATCGAAGACGACGAACAACTCTCGATGCTGCTGACTCAAGGGTTCGGTAACAAACACGATCCCCATTCTGATCATAGATCAGAAGGCGTCGCCCTCCATGACCCAAGATACAAGGAGGCAGAGGTACAGTCAGGGAAGACCATCGCCTCTTTGATCGCTGCTATCAACCTTGGAAAGAAGCATTGGCACAGTTCATGGGATCCACTAGCTGAGGAGGTAGGAAAGTCTGTTTCACCCTACGTCAGTGGGCCGATGCGAATTGGCATTGTAGGCGAGACTGGGCAAGGTAAATCTTGCCTTATCGGAGGTCTGTTAGGTGACGAGGGTATAGTTCAAACTGTACGTCAACTGTTTGCATCAGCAGCTGTGTAGCTGAGGCTAAAACTTAATCAGGCAAAGAGTGGCGAGAGCCTGACCAGAGTGATTCTGGAGTACCATCACTGGATCGATCACGACTCACGTTTCAAATACCGCGCTATCATCAATCTCCTCCCGTGGGAATCTGTACAGAAACGGATCGAGACGTACTTCGAACACTGGAACCACGGGCTTTTGTCACATGAAGACGAGAGCGAGCATGAAGATGAAGATGGTGATCAAAGCCCAGATCCTGCAGGCCCGGATTCTCCCGGGGCAGATACGGAAACAGCTACAGGGGTTTTCCAAGCACTCTTCCGTGGAGACCCCAGTTTTGAGGATGAGGATACCATGAAGGAATACCTGATGAGCAGTGAACGGTCACCTGTGCGACATGATGTACGAGATCGGCTCATCAAGCGCGCTCGCGACATGTACGACGAGCTTGATTGTCAGGATATAACCATATACAAACGAACCGCCGAAGAGCTGTGGCATGAGCTTGCTCGATTCACGCATGGTCGCTTGGTCGATGACTCAAGAGGAGGTTGCGACGCTTGGCCCTTCGTCGAAGTTGTCAAAATCGGTGGGCCCTTTGCCCTATCCGAGCACATCGTCATCGCTGACACGCCGGGTCGAAACGACCTGAATCGCCTTGCGCGTGCCAGCGTGGATGACTACCTACCATCTTGTTCGTCCGTCATAATAGCCTGCAATATTAGTCGCATCATATCTGACGACAGCCTCCCCAATCAAATCGAGAAGATCCAACACCACCGTCCTGTGACAGTAGTCGCTACATTTTCCGAGGTATGGGGAATGAATCTATCAGGGCGCCCTTACTGACTGCAAGATAGGACGTCAGCCTGGTTCCCAGCAGGCACACTAAGCTTAGCCCAGGCGAGAAGCATACGTATATGAGGCTTCACGAGAAACTCAAACAGCTTGAACGGGAAGATTTTCAGCCCCGAACTCTGGATCAGAGCTCGCTCGCTGAAGCTATACTACGCAACCAGTTGACGCAAAAACATGTCAAGAAAGCGTACGTGTAGTAGCTGAGGATCCGGGCATCATTGATACTAATTAGAACATAGCATTGCGCAAGTGCTTGTTGAGGAACGCAGCCGGCGCGTGAAGGAAAGGCTTATGGCAGAAGTGCGGGGGAAAGGCCGTCCTCAAGCAGTATTTTGTGTGTCCGCTTTCGACTATCAGCGTAACATCAGGGGGGTTGCCGCTCACGACTCCGCGCTTCTTCCTCTCAGCCCCAACGATACGGAAATACCTGCATTGAAGCGACATCTCATCTCGTTATGCTCGCCCATGCGAGTGGAAGAGCTAGTGCGCTATGTGGGCGCAACATTACCGGGCCTCGTGCTCAGCATGGAGATGGGGATCAAGAAACGAACTGATGTGTTTCAAGTCAAAATTGAAGGTGGAGTCGAAAAGCTGAGTAGTGTAAGTGATTTAAAATGCCACGAAAGCCAAACTAATACCGTCCCAGACTTGTGTAAAGAAGGTTCATCGATGCATCGATGATGTATTTGAGGATCGAATCGAAAAGCCCTTATTGGAGACCTTGCGTACGCAACTTCCTGCATACATTCAACATGCAGAGGAACGGTGCGAAGTGTGGCTTCAGGTGTGATTCACAAATGTCTTAGAAGGTACCTGCTAACGCTTCAAGTGGCATCATAATACGCACAAGACATTTGTCAGCAACCTAGGTAATAGACACCTTCTCATCTATAGCAAATCTGACTGATGGCGTTCAAGGCAATTACAAAAGGCCTAGAAAGGGCAAGCCGAGTTGGAACCATGAGTTGCTCGAGCAGCATCGCATCAGCCTCAATCCGATCTTTCAAGGCATCCATGAAGTTCTGTGTAATAGTATCGAGCTAGTAAAGCAAGAAATCATGTCAGCAACAGGCAAACTAGCCGAGGACATCCGCAGTGAGTTGCTCATACAAAACTTAACTCCCTAGCTAACAATATGCAGAACAGTATCCACAGCCCAGACCTGCTGAGCTAGACCTACTCCTCGGCAACATCTACATAAAAGGTGCAAATATTATGGCGATGAAAACCAAGTGCATTGGCGATCTGAGGACGTTCATCGAGTAGGTACTCAGCGAACGGACAATCCACTTGATTTTGCTGACTTCGACCGTAGGGAGCAGAGACTGCGCTGTCTTACTGACACCGACGATATCTCCTACTTCGGGTACGCCATGATCGATGTATACACAGCGAGCAAAGAGATCAGGCGAGGGAACAAGAAGGAGGAGACACGAAAGGTCATGCAACATCGAACTTTCAAAAGACTGCTTCGCGACGAAGATACAACGCCATTCCACGCTATTTGTGAACAATTGGAACAAGCCATCAACTCTCAAAAGCAGCTGATCAAGGAGTACTTGAAGGAGAAGATCGGGTCGTTATTCCAGGCCATCGGCGATGATCTGAAGCGATTGGGAGTGGAGCAGGCGAGTCTGGACCACGGCGAAGACCGCGAGGTTCGCGAGTCGATTGGCAGGACGCTTTCGAAGGTGAAGGGGGATCTTGGGACGATTGAGGCGTTGTTGAAGGAGAGCGGCGTTGATTGCGATGGTATCAAGGATCAGTTGACGTGACGATCTTTTTCTGGATATGCATTAGATGACATCGGGTAATGAAATTCTATTGCTTTAGTGTTGTTGATATTCTTCCTCTCTAAAGTCAACTTCTGCATACTCACCGCACGAGTCTGCCCACTACTTCTCGCGTCTAACAATGAAGAATTTACCTAGGTAGTCCGGTCTTCTACTCGCAAAGGTATTAACTGACAGAGAATGGAATATTGTGCATAGGTCATGCTGCTCGTGTTTAGTCAGGTCAGCGTCTGCGCTGTTGCTTCGAGGATGCGCCACACTATTATCCCCGGGGGGATAGTGTGGCGCGTGCTGGGTAGACAGTGTGGCGCGCGCTGGGCTGTCTCGCCTTTACCACGAACTACCTGGGTACGTTTCCAACAGAGGCCCAGAGATAGATATCACAAGACAAACTATACGATTGCCCGCATCGAGGTCTGAAGCGACAGCTGTGTTTCGCAAAGCAGGAAAAATGCGAGTCCGAGCCGTGACTTCCATGTTGAAGAAAAGCAAAAGCGCAGCGGCACGCATGCTCCTATTTCGGGGGCGGACTAGACCACGCTAGCCACCAGCGCTAACACCTCCCTGCATCAGCCACCCAGTTCTCCCAACCATCCCATCTCTCCGACATCGACATGACACACGCCCACATATGCGCGCTCGACTCGTATGTGGAGACGACAGATGCTACCTGGCCATGATAAAGTTCCGGCCCTGGGACCCGCTGTCAGGGTCTGGCTGCGCACGCTGCGCTACGGCAAGACACCCAGACCAATCGACCGCCGACGCGAATGTGAGGCTGTCACTTGGCGGCAGGATCCACCGCTACTTTTTTGCTACGTATGATGTGCTGGGGTCTGATTCAGATACTAGGCTTTCAGGGAATGGAGAGATGCATGCAGTGTGGCTTGCGGCTAGCAGGCTCTTTAGATGTTGAGTTGGATATCCTGGTTGCCATGATGGAGGCTCTCTCTTTGGAGACAGGACGCCATGGCGAGACTAGCGAGTCTGGTCCCCGTCTACTCTTCGTACTATGGCCGTCCGCAGATCACGTGAGAAATCGATCGCGATCTATCTGGATTCGCAGTTACATGCTCTTCATTCGTAAGCTAATGGTATCCAGGCGCTCACCAAGGCCTACCTAGGTAACCAGCACAACAAGCCAGCAAAACAACCCCATCACAACTCCCGCTCAAACTCATGGCTCTGCAACATCGTCCCCCCTCGCCCATCTATACTAACCCTATGCAACCTCCCAACATTCTTCCCCAAATCCAACTCTACTAAACTATCCTTCCTTTGTCCCCTTCTCATCCGATGCACAGAGCCCGTCATCTCCTGATCCACAATCTCCGTATCATCAGGTATAACCTCATCCTGCGGTACATCTTCAATGCGAAACAAAAGCTGGTATGCCGGCGCATCGTCCGGGCGATTGGGATCCTTTGTATCCCGGAAAATTGTAATACTGGGAATATGTTTTAACCCCAATTCCGCCTTGTGTTGGACGAGCATAAACGCTTTGTTTGCGCCGACGGGTGTGCCTAGGAGTGCGAGATACTCCTCACTGGACTCGTCTACTTGGACACCTGGCCATTCCGGTACCTCTTTATAGCCTTTGCTGACGAGAATCCGGTTGATGACGGGTACGGTTTCGGTGTTGATGATGTTGCTACCGAACCAGTATTTTAGGTTTTTGGGGTTGGGATTGCGCAGCCAGAAGGCGGCCATGATGTCGGAGGCTTGGCGGAGGAGAGGGAGTTGGTCCGCTGGGAAGCCTTCGGCGTAGGTGTCCATGGCGGCGGGCCAGGGGGCGAGGAAGTTGTGGCCGTAGATTGCTGGAGAGGGGGTTTAGTGCGTGGTGGTGGTGGTGGTGGTGGAAGGATGTCTTACCTCCTTGTTCAGCATTGAAAGCGAAGCGGTAGTAAGCCCCAGTAGCCTATGTATAGTCAGACAAAACGTCAATGGCGTATCTCTCTTCCTGGTTTACTCACGCCATACTCTTTGTCGTCGTCGTCGTCGTCAGGGAAGTAAGTCTGCATGTCTACCGGGAGATCATCACCATCATCATCCACCGCGTTCTCATCCATATGCTCGATAGAGTAACACTTGTTCTTGCCACCTTGTTCCACCGATTTTACGCTAAGTCCGAGGTCATTCAGCGCAGCCTCTATCCTGTTGTTTATCTCTAAGTTTGAGAAGTCGTCCGAAAAGTCGCAGTTGATTTCTGGGTCATAGTAGGCTTCGTGCCAGTACCAATCCCTTAGCTCGGCTAGTTGAAGGTCAGTGTCAATGGCTGGGTATAGATGACGGTGGAATGGATATAACTTGCCTTCAAGCGTTCCCTTCCACTGGCTTGCCGCTGATGGCGGATTGCGGTTTAGATAGTTGGGCCATTCTCGTCCCGCGACTTCATCCGGCATTTCCATGAGACAACGGAGCCAGTTGCCCTTCTTCTTGTACCTCTCCCAGGTGGCATCGTTCGCGTAGTCGGTGGGGTCGAAGTCCACAGCAGTCTGGATTAGATTTGGTTCGGAGGCGGAGGCTTTGTCGTTGGTTGATGGGATATGCACCGCGCTGTCTGGACGTTCTAGAAGGCTTGATGGAAAGGCTGTGGAATTGGAGGAGCCGAACGGTACTTCGACACGCTTGCCATAGACCAGCGGTACACATATCACGGTAAGGAGAAGTGTAGCAATCTTCATGGCTGATGTGACACACGGATTTCGTTTCTCGAGGTATGGGTGTGAATTTGGTTGAGCATTGCGTTACTCCAAGCGAGAGAGCTCAGGAGTAGACACACCAAGCGCTTCGTCATAGTCGTGAGTGCGCCTAAACAAGTGGATACAAGTGTTGATAAGAAAGCATACGCGGCGAGTGGCAATTGTTCAAGGGCGTAGAGCGTAGAGTGAATGTCCACTCTGAAGGCGTCATCAAACTTGCTCAACCCCATAACTAACCACCGCCGTCCTACCGCCCGTATAAACACTGACCTCATGCAATTTTCGCACATCATTTCTTGCGTCCACCTCCTCTGTCACCCTATTGCTTCTCTTAACTTCCTCCCCTGACCTACTTCCCTGTTCACAGTTCCAGCTACGCACCCAACATCCATATTATCAGACCTTAGAACATCCTCCGGAACGTCTTCAATACGAGACAGCGACTGAACATCCGCCTGGAACGAGGGGTTCGCTCTATAATCGCGAAAGATCGTGATTCCAGTGATATGCTTATCGCCAAGTGAGGCTTTATGTTGGAGAAGGAGGCACACGGGTATCGCACTAATGAGTGAGCCTGCTGTACTGATAGAGATAGACATCCTCGTGTACCAGGGTATTCAGATTTGCTAGTCTGACAGGGGCGAGAGGAAATTGAATCTCTGCTTGTTGCGTGGAGATACATGTATTAGTGGTGTGAGAACA